CAGCACCAGTGTGCATTAACCTACAGCTTTAACTACAACATATGGATCCATTTTTTGATAATGAGTCATACATCTAACTTCAAAAGCACAAAACAGAGAAAATTGAAATCATTCACTAGTTAATAGTCCACTGAGTGACACTGCCTTCAGTGCAGCATTTGATGATAGCTTAAAAGGGGTAGGGTAGAGGAAATATTTTCAGTAAAATGTTCCATCATTCATTAAGTTGCTTGTGAAATTTTACTAAAATTGATTTAAGAGTATATCTGAGTCAACGTAAATATTTCAATGTGTATAGTTTTAGTTATTTACATAAAAATATTTAAAAATATAACTTTTGAAGTTTACAAAATGTACAACATTTCATGTTTTTGGTTTGGCCTAAGCTACCCAGTTATTTACCTTATGTTACACTGCAAAGAATGTCCAGCTAAAAAGTCTTTTTGATCTTGTTTTGAGACTGATTTACTAAACAAGAACTGATTGTGTAAGAATAATAATCTTGTTTTCAGAATGTGTAAGATTATTTGTCTTGTTAGTCTGAAAATTTGACTCTAATTAAGTAAAAAAAAAAATCTGCCAATGGTGTAAGAAAATTTTACTTGGTAAGATTCTTGAAATACTTTATTTGACTCATTTTTTCTTATTTCAAGAATTTTACCAGGTAAAATTTTCTTACTCCATTGGCAGAAATTTTTTTTACTTAATTTGAGTCAAATTTTCAGACTAACAAGACAAATAATCTTACACATTTTAAAAACAAGATGATTATTCTTACACAATCAGTTCTTGTTTAGTAAATCAGTCTCAAAACAAGATCAAAAAGATTTTTTGCCTGGATATAAGATTTTAGAACTTGGTAAATGGACAGTTTTTGCTGTAAAATGTTTACCTGTATCAAATAACAGTAAATTTCTTTGACAGGCTAATTGAAAAGATCGACATGAACAATTTATCTACATATATTTAAAAAAAACACAAATGGGTTACGAAACCTTTTCAAAAACACTACGACATTACGACTTTCCGCAGCTTCAGTTGAAAATTGTATTTGTTTTTATGATAGCCCTTTTTCCTACACGCTTTGAACGCATCACTGAGATGGGCTGCACCCCTGTAGTCCAGACAACCTGTAAACTAATGCCTGCGTGATGGCGGAGCACACGACAATAAAAAGTTCAGACGAAGAGTTCAAAAGGGAATACTTTTACAGAAACAGGTGTGTATCTTGTATGTGTGTGCGTATTTTTTTTGTTTTAGAAACGCTCAAAAAATGACGGCTCTTATATATTATTTTTCAATCATGAAATTAGCCATGTGATCTCATTACTAGCATGTTAGCGTCATGATTCGTGGTGGTTCCGTAATATTTTCAAATGTCATCTCAATACGTGACGATTTCCAACTGGTTACTAAGTTAAAAGGATGTGAAAGTCATCCTGCCATGATGAGGGAGGCCGTCAGTCAGTCAGTGAACAGCAACGATTTGCGTGGTAAATACAACATTACAGTGACACAACTAATAACAAATGTTTGTGTACTTCAGTGAAGCTGAGGAAAACAGAGAGGAGGAGAACCGGGCCGTCATCCGAATTCAGAGCTGGTTCCGAGCTTGTAAGGTGCGAGCATACCTCAGGTAGGCCTACACGTGTGTGTGTGTGTGTGTGTGTGTGTGTGTGTGTGTGTGTGTGTGTGTGTGTGTGTGTGTGTGTGTGTG